CGCGCTGATGAGATCCAAAAAGATCGAAATCGCGATCCGCGTCTGGCAGTTTCGACAGAATACAGACCACTTCGAATTATTTTATTCGATTAAGCTAACGTGCTTATCACGTTCAGGTTGGCTACGCCGGGATTCGTTTTCAGCAAGTAGATATCCACACAAGTGGACCTTGTTGGAGCAGACGTAATCCTAAAATGTAGCATCGCGCTACAGATGGCGTTTACTGCGCCATTTGTAGTATTTTTTATCTATTATTTGATTTGCTATTCATCATTGGCTCAAAATTGACTAGTTGTTTTATTCCTCATTTTGGTTCGTGGTCAGCTTTAGCTACAGCCATCTCTATCTTGCAAGCCATAAACAAATATGTGGTAACGCCGCAAATTGTCGGTCTTGCGGGTCTACTTGAGGGTCCACGACTCCCATACCATAACATTAAAATACATAGTTCAATATAGAATTTTGCAAACGGTACTTAAAATACAAAAAAAATAGTAAAAAAAGTTGGTATAATGTTTATAATTAAATTTTTTGAACACACACTTAAATTATTTTAATTAAAAACTGCACCCATTATTTTTTTATTTCAATTAGCAATAGTACCTACTACAATTTTATCTTTTGCAAAAATGAGTTAGAAATTTGATGTAAATAATAACCAGTAGTTTTAATAACAGCACTATCTTCAAAATGTAAAAACTGAAAAAAAAAAAGTACAAAATTTTTTCGCGGAATTTCTTTTAACCATTTTTGCTATAAAATTTCATCATTAGAGAAACAAAAAGTAGTAACTATTGTTTATCCTGTTTTCAATGTACTATTATAATTAGATTTGCATCCAGGAACACTGGGAGTACAAGGCATTTTTTACCTACAAGTGCAATTTTTATGTTAAGACTTACTGCTATTTAAAACTACTAAAAAATGAGTCACACTAGATACGAACAACTACACTAACACTAAACAAATGTCTTATTCACTTAAAGTTTAAATTAGTACAAGCCAACAACATAAACAACTTTTAATAGAAAAAAGCATCAAATTTTCACACAGCATAAGTAAATATTAATAAGCTTGTGGAAGTCCCGGAGTACGGTACATCCATAGATAATACATATATAAAGGGTACATCATAGATAATAGATACACAAAGGGTGCATCCCTCTCGTACCTCTTGGTCATAGATACTCCTGGTAGAGCCGCTCGCTATGTTGCCAGATTTCCTACTTCACGATTTGTTAGATGGTGGCTGTGCTTCAGCATTACGTACAATCTAAGTAGATACATTAAAATTATATTAGTAATCAGTTTCAGCATTACACACAATCTAAGTAGATATATTAAAATTATATTTAAAATTATATAAATTGTAACAAAATTGAAGTTAGTTTACGAATATCTACATTGTTCTTACATTCACTGAATATTCACAACGGCATTATATGCTCTTTGTATAGGCTCTCTATTGCTATTGACTGCTATCAACTACTATCTTCAGAATATAGACCATAGATAAATTGTGGTCTTCCTACGACCTGCGACCTTTATTTAACCTTCAGGGATCATCAGTTCTTTAGATACCGGTGTGACCTCCGTAAGTTTCATTCGTTCCTTGGAATTTGTACATCTTACCTTCGTTGTGAACGACAGTATTGTATTGTGCTTATAACAGAATTACTGTATTCAACAGGTATACAATTATTACTATATATATAATAATACATTTTTTAATATGAATAATAACTAGATTGTATTATAAACGACTTTAAATTTCAGAGCGGCAAATATAATACTAACATTAGCAAAAATGGCAATACGAAGTATTAAAGCTCGTCAAATTTTTGATTCTCGAGGCAATCCTACTGTTGAAGTAGATTTAACAACTGAATTGGGTTTGTTTCGTGCTGCTGTCCCTTCAGGTGCAAGTACAGGTATGTTTATCAGTAAGGTGATACTTTATGTACTGTACTTAATATACATTAATAGTTTTTTATTTCCACCCATGATATTACTATTTTGAGATACGATCAGTTATATTTGCAATAGTCTTGCATGTATATTTCCTTTATATTCCGGTAATACTACCTTATACATTTGCTGGGTAAATCATTAATTTAAGAGATCATAAAATCATTAAGTTAATATTACTATTGTCACAATGTTAAATAATTTCTACATTTGTTGAGCAAAATGTGTGCAACTAAAATAGTTGAATAAACAAGATTTAAACTTTTTGCACCCTTCTAAACTAGTCCAATAAAAATAGAGTAATAAAATGCATTTCGAAATGTCTTTTATAATGAGGCATGAGAGTGGTTGACTGTCTATAATTTAATTAATAACTCACTATGCAAAGTTATTTGTAAGTATTAATAATCTAATAGTCATTTTGCCATATTACGACTTCAAGTGGAAAAATGTATTAATTATCTTTCTTCAATTGGACTAGTTTTGGTTTTTCATAAATTACATAATATAGTTGAAATAATTTTGTAAAAGATGCATTTTTACAGAATTTTTAATACAAAGAATAGTTCTATAAATAACTACACTACATTGGTTTTATATATTTTAGGAGTTCATGAGGCTTTGGAATTACGTGATGGAGACAAAGCTAATTATCACGGTAAAGCAGTTAGTAAAGCAATTAATAATATAAACAGTATAATTGCTCCAGAACTTATAAAAAGTGGTTTGGAAGTGACTAATCAGAAAGGTGTTGATGAATTTATGCTGAAACTGGATGGTACAGAAAATAAAAGTAAATTTGGAGCAAATGCTATATTAGGAGTGTCTTTGGCAGTTGCCAAAGCAGGAGCTGCTAAACGCCAAATCCCTTTGTATAAATACATAGCAGAGTTGGCTGGAAATAAAGATATTATTCTTCCTGTTCCTGCTTTTAATGTTATTAATGGTGGTTCACATGCTGGAAATAAACTAGCTATGCAGGTAAGGATGTTTAATTTTTAATTGCGTTCTATATAAATTTACTTGTACATGTAATTGCTGTAATAATTTAAATAGAAGCACTTGTGTATGAATTCTAAAATCCAATTCGACAAAATGGTAGAAATTACATTTTTTAACTCAAGAACGTGGCATATAAAGAAGGTGAAATCACTTGGCTGAAAGTCGTGGCACCTTACTTCCTTGCTTTCTTTTCTGTTCACGCCCATCTTTCCACTCATTCAGTGTATAAAGAAATATAACAACTGTATAACAAAGGCCATGCCATTCATGATTAATTATAAACACAGTTTAAAATAAAAAGAGATACCTACTGTTTTTTACTTCAATTTAGGTATTTCTAAATCCAACTGGAGCTATGTCTGTAGTAACATACTAACATAGTTTGAACATTAATGTCAGATAAAGATCTGATAAAAAGGCTTCTAGTAATATTTTCTTAAAACAAAAGCAAAATTCCTATTGAAAAATTTCTTTGAGAACTTTTATTTATGTATCTATGTATAATATCTTTGAAAAGGTGGCCGATAAACGGACGCGTCGACCTGTTGGAGAAAATAGAAGTATGCAAGTAGTGCCATCGCTTATTATGGGAATAATTTCACCTTCTTTATCCACCCTGCTTCACACATAGAAGGTATACTCTGTTTACTTTCTGTAGAGCCCAGCCCCCTCCAATGTGCTAGATGCACACCTACAAAATCGTAGGTACAATTTATTTCAAACGGCTAGAAATATGCCCCATCTCTTGCGTGGACGCGCCGTGACAAAATTCTTAATTTTATCATTTCATATTCAAAATATTTCTGTCTTGCTTACGTCTAGTGTGTATTCTTTCTATTACCCAGCTTTCTTCAGTCACATCTGTAACTGTTTGAAATGACCTTGTAGGAGTATGGAGCTGATATTCTCAACTCTTGCGTATTAAACACTTGTCCCTATAATTGCTAAAAGTCTAGTTTCGGCATGAATACTATTGCGAGTCAAAAATAAGTGTTAAATATCCAATGTAAAACAATAATTGCAAACGGTTTGCAATTTTTGAAGCGGAAAAGGACCAAAAATGTTTCATAATTCCACTTAATAAAGTTTTAGAACGTGTTGCAGGATATAACTTGGCAACAATTAAAGGTATATTAGCTGAGAAAAAGAAAATTAAAGAAGGAGAACAGTTATCCTTCAAAAAAGCAGGAAATAATCTCAGTAAGGTTTGCCTGAAATCAAGCTTGAATGTATTAAACAATTTGGCGAATCATTATGTATATCAGAAAAGTATATTGTACCGGGCACGAGTGTGTTTGTGTGCAATCGGCACACGTGTACGTGAACGGCTTATCAATTAGCCAACTAGCCGCGGGCGCCTTTCTTATGTGCGCCGTATTTGTAAATGTGTGTGTCGACCTGCATTCTGGGAAAGCAGTTAAACAGTCCAAAGAAAAAATAGAAACTATCCGGATGTTTCGAGAAGGTTCCCGAAAGTAAACAAAAGAGTATTTAAAGAAAGAGACGATCGCCAAGAGAAGTAGAAATAAATTGACCGTTGCAGAAGTGAATCCAGAAATAAATTGACAGTGATAGTGAAATAAATAGCGCAGTGAATAGTGATATCAACAGTAGTGTAAATAAATAGAATAATTCATAACCGAAGTNGTTCCAGAAAGTTTTAGAAATATCTGGAATGATCTGGAAAGTTCCAAATGTCCGCAATTAATTATCAAGGATTTCTACAATTTTCTAGATTTTGTCCAATTATTCTAGAATATTATAGAACGATCTACTATTATTAAGAAATTTTATAAAGGTACAGGGTGGTCTGTCATTATCGGGAATAATTTTGTGTTCTGCAACATTCTAGAACGATCGAAAACATTAAAAAATAAAGGACAAGCTGTCATTGTTAAGAATAATCTTGAATATTCTGGTATATAAACCGAAATTCCTTGACTTTTCGTCAGTTTGATTGTGTTTGCAGTCGAGTGAAGATCAATTGAAACTGACAGTGAACAGTAATTAAACAAGTCAAAGCGATTTTGACAAATGAAAAAGAACAAACGAATTGAGGTTTTACATCCAACACAACAAACTCTTATTAATTGAAAATAAAAAACAAGCATATGATATGATAATGGATTACTATAAAAACAAGCAAGGTGGTAAATGATTCCGGGAGAAGAGAAAATTTACGTGTCAATTGATACAATGACTGATGACCAAGAAAGCGTCAATTTCCCTACTGAATTTTTAAATTCATTAAATTTTACAGGAATGCCATTACACTGTCATATGTTAAAAGTTGGTTCACCAATTATTTTATTACGAAATCTGAATTCGCCGAAATTGTGTAATGGTACAAGGTGCTCCTATTTTGAATAATAGCGGACATGATTGGCTCTAATCAGTTTAACCAAATTGTTAACGTTGATAAGCGCCCAGGAAACAGGGGTCTCTCAATATCTAAGATAGAAATCTATAATTATTTACGTTAAAAGTGAATCCTTAACTATTTTATATATCATTAAACATGCGATGTATTTTAACCCGAGCAACGCCGAATTTCGCTGCTAGTAATTGTATACGAAAAAATATAGCATATCCTAAACATATGGAGGAGATAGCTATCTTTAGCCGACTAGCATGGATTCAAAGTGGCCAATAAGACATAACCATAGAAATTGTGGGTAGGATAACAAAACCTTTATCTACTAATGTATTTCTTATGCCACTTCCGCTCGTTAGATTTTGCCTATCAGTAGTTAGATTCCACCCCTTTCCTAATATCGCAGGGACTTAGAAAGCCTACATTATTTTTTATGCAATATTTTCTAAAAACGTGCATTTTTGTTATGATAGTGAATGACAGGACGGACGTTTCAGTAGTGATCAACTATTTTGTTAATGCTTACACTAAATACAAGATTGCTTGAATTTGTATGATTGCATGTTAACACCTACAACCAATGCATTATGTTTGCGCGCTCGAGTTATACTTGATTGATTTGTTAGTACAAGTAGCTATGTGCGCATTTCGTGCTTGTTTTGTAACTATGAACCAAACGAATCCTTTGTTATTGATCGTTACATGAGAGTATGTGTAAGTTAGATTTCTTGCAAGGTACACTTGCACATGTCATCTACATACATTATTGCACTTCGTTTTATACATATATTTCGAAAATTGAGTCCTTGAACCTTGACGAAACTCTTGTACAAACTAGAGTGGGTGGATCAGCTTGCGAGTTTTAATTTAGGGAGCCGGATCATAGGTTCAACCATAATGGGGGGAGGGTCTTAAAGAGAACCAGACTAAGACAAGTCCCTTACAGAGAGTTCAGTACTCAGGGTGGCAGAGATCACTAGAATCGGTATGACACACTAATGCACAATGCTGCTATGTGTAAAGCAACGGGAAACCACCACATTATGATAACCCAAGTAAAACATACCGAAACTAAATGATGGCGCCCTCTGTGGTAAATCACTCCGGACGTAAACTAGTCCCCCATTCGGGTGTCCGGGCGAGGATTACTTCGGGGGATGTCATCAATAAGTGCAATAGGGGTAGCTGCAATATTTCACGAGTCGGAGCGTGGATTGTTAGGACAATGAGCCAAGTAGGGAAATTGGAAAATTTAAAAGCTGAGATGAATAGATTAGAATTAGATATAGTAGGTATTAGTGAAGTTCGTTGGCCCGAAGCTGGAAACTTCTGGAGTGGGGACTACATATATAATATATACAGGATCGGAGGAAGGTAATTCGGCGGTAGGAATTGTAATGCGTAGGAAAGTACGGCAGAGTGTAGAAAGTTATTTACAGAAAAGCGATAGCATAGTTCATCATTATCATAAGGCCGTCAATCCTAAGACTGGTTGGACACGTACCTCCCCTTTTTCCTATCCTGAGCTAATTTTCGCATTTCCCTAAAACTAAAACATCCCACATCCTTAACTATGTTCGAACAATAATCTAATCGATGTCTACCTCTACACGTCTTAACTCCTGCCTCTGCCTCTAATGTGTCTCTGACTAGCCCTTCATGCCTCCTGAGAATGTGTCCTACCGACCTATCTCGCCGATTTCCTATTGATTCATCTGATCTTTTATTTCTTTCTAATACCTCTTCATTTCTTCTCTATCCTTGGTATCTTCATGATTCGCCTATAACGAACTTTTCTTTTCTTCCCTTGCATACCGGTATTTTTTTTTACTTTTATTTATTTTCATACAATACTGTTTTGTCAATACCGCTTCCATTTTATTTAAGATTATCTCTAACTCCTCCTTGCTAGATGCTAATAGTGCTATATCATCTGCAAATCTAAGCATATTAATCTTTTGCCTCTGTATTTTTCTCTAAAGTTGTCCTGTCTTTAATGATGTTGATCGTGTCTTCGATGTGTAAATTAAAATGTAGCGGTTACAGTTCTGACTCCCCTCCTAATATTTACTTCTCTACGTTACTGCTCAAGGCATACATGTAATACTCCTATATGGCCAGTTTCTATAAGTGGAAACTGTTCCTACAAAGTGAAACAGATAGTGTCTCGTTTTCTTTATCTCTGAGTCCCCGCATCTTTTTGTGAGCATATTCTGTTTCTCAAGCATGCGCACCATAGACAAGACTTGTAGTAAAACATTTTTGCAAACTTTTTTATAAAATAAATTTTATGGTTAACCTTGTTGTTTTATTCATTTATACTCAAGTAGACGAGTAGGGTATAATTAGGATTGCCAACAGACCGATCTTCCACTAGCCTGCCCGGTTTATCATTAATAGGGCCGGGTACCGCCAATCAGTACTAAAAGAAAATCGGGTTTCCTTCCATTCACACGAAAATTACAGTGACTTTATAGTAACAGTGTGGCCATAGAGTGGTATCGATTTCTATTGGCTGCGTCAACCAACGCCATGTTTCCTCCAAATTTGTTTGTTTACTATCTATCTACATCTGTATTTGCTGTTTTTTGAAAGTTTCTTGCGT